GGAATTTTTAGGAAGCTTCAATTCAATCAAAGTTTAAGGTTTTTTCATGGACTGCTATTCAATAAAAGCTCAAGACATATGATATGCTTCAAGTTTGTCAACCATGTAGTGCCTCATCTCGATTCATCTGTGTAAGGAAACCTCTTAAGGTATATAAAGGAAGAAGGGCAAATTGGGAAATAATTGTAAAGGAAGGGGGTGGATAGGTAATTCACCTAACACAGTTATTTCAAATATGTTTCTTCTATTGTAATGGACAAGCACACTAATAGACAGGTGTGTCTCTTTCGTCCTCTGGGTTTATACAATCTACCCTTAAAAAGGTGAGAAAACAGGAAACAAATTCAAATACTATTCGAATTTCCCTCTCTCTCTTTTTGATTCTTTTCTCTCCTTTTCTCTTCTTTAGACCTAAAAGTCACGAATCATGAGTAAGGTTCTTGATAAGTTGGTATTAGAGCCATTGGAACTAGTTGAGACATATGCTTATGTAGCATCAAGAATGAGATCTAAGGGAAAATTGGTTGTGATGGAGCTACCAAAGGTGTAGTTGGCTGAGGTATCTCTAAAAGAGGTCGATCAATGAATTAACAAATTTCAGGACCGGAGTTTATGTAGCACAATGCCAAACCAAACAAGAATTCATCCAAACCTTCAAAACACTTCGTGGCAGCATGAGACCCAACAAATTGACTAACTAGGCTGCTCACTCATCGCCGATGGTTGCAATAAAACGGGAAATCCTTCCTTCTCTACCCATGCACGGAGATGAAAAAAAACACATCAACCGACGTGAAGTCGAGTGATGATGAGTTCGTCGGTGACACTATCTAAGGTGGAAATTCCTCAGCTTGAAGTAATTAATCCAAGGGCTTGGATTCGAAGATGTGACAAATATTTCCTGGTGCATGGCACACTAAATGAGCAAAAGGTCGAGGTGACTTCACTATTAGTGATTGTGTGGTACCAAGGATGACTAGCCAAGAATGAAGACCTGAAATGGGAAGTATTCGCAGAAGAACTCTGTCGCAGGTTGGTGGTGCGACTAGAAAAAACTTCATTGAAAGAGTTCGATAAACTTGTATAAAGGGGAGTTGTTCTAGAATATCAGGAACACTTCAAACACTTCAGGGCCTTGATAACAATGGACAAACCGACGTTGTCAAAGAAGTTCTTCATATTAAGTTTTATCAGTAGCTTAAAACCGAAGCTACAACCTATGGTATTGTTGCTTAAACCTAGGATGCTCAGCCAAGCGTTTGAGTAGATCTTGCTCCATAAACAATTTATGATAGATATATCCTGAAGTACGTACTTCATTGAGTGGAATTCTCACCATGCTGTCAGGACATAAGCATTGGTACTAAATATTCTGAGCGTTTCTCCAAAAAACTAAATAAGGGAAAATGAAGTTAAGTGGACAATTGCTGCCTGTTACAAGTGCGATGATTCCTACTTCCCTTGACATTGCTGTCAAACAAAGATTATGATGATCATAGAAGAATTAATCTCCCATGAACTCGAGGTGGATAATTCTTTGGAGGAATTGGCCAGCAAAGAAGAGAACCAAACAGGTACACTTTCCATTCATGCCATAGAAGACATTGCTGTCAGAAGTACATTGAAAATAAAAGGAACTCTGGAAGGACATAATGTTCTAGTCTTGCTAGATAGCAACAACTCATATTCATTCTTGGATGAGAGTGCTGCTAGATGGGTTAAGAATAAAGTGGTGGGCGAGAAACCATTGATGGTAACGGTAGCAAATGACTATAAGATATCTAGTAATGTTTAAGGTCTTGAAGTCTTGTGGGTGATACAAGGAAATAAATTTTGCTAGAACTTCCATGTAACAGTTTTATGCGGCAATGACTTGATTTTAGTGGTTGATTGGATGAAGCAATTAAGCCTCATGCTATTTGATTGTGTCCATGCCAACTGTAAAATTTCATTACGTGGACTTATTAATATAGTTCTTTACGGAGGTGATACAAGTGGGAAACTGTTAAACATGAAGCACTAGCAATCCATTGTAAGGGGGGGTAGTCTTCCTAGTGATGGTGACAGAACTAGTGGACGTTGCTATGAATGAATTCACTACAAAGATGTCTTTGAGGAGCCCTTAGGCCTGCCTTCGACTAGAGCTTTTGATCATGCCATATCCTTGACTCGAGTGGGGACAGCAGTGAACATACATCCCTACTGATATTTTTTCACCAAAAGAACAAGATAAAAAGACAAGTTCAAAAGATGCTGGAGGAATCCATCATGCATCCCAGCCACAACCCTTTTTCATCGCCTATTTTGCTAGTCCTAGGTTTTGCATCAATATAGGGAGCTCAATTCCCTAACAGTGAAAGATAAGTTCCGTATACCCATTATTGATGATTTACTGGATGAATTACGTTTAGTCGCGATCTTCTCCAAGGTGAAACTTAGAGCTAGCTATAATCAAATAAGGTTAAGGGAAGACTACATTCACAAAATAGGGTTTAGAACACGCTAGAACCATTATGAATTCGGGGTGATACCTTTCGACCTCACTAATGCTCCAATAACTTTTCAAGCTCTCTTGAACTACGTACTCAAGACTTTCATTAGGAAATTTGTCCTATTTTTTTTGATGACATCTTGGTTTACAGTTCAAATGAGCAAAAGCACTACGAACAATTGGAAGATGTGTCGCAATTGCTGAGGTCCATAAACTGTATGCCAAGCGATCCAAATGCAATTCTTCTTAAAGGAAGTGGAATATATGGGTCACATGATCTTCTAGTAAGGAATAAAGACATATTGAGGAAGATAAAAGCTATTTTGAGTTGGCCACCACCAAAAACCTTGAGAGCTCTCAGGGGATTTTTAGGCTTGCCAAGTTACTATCGTAAATTCATTTAACACTATGGTGTTACAGTCAAGCCACTTAGGGACTTACTAAACAAGAGAAGTGTTTCAATGGAGCTCAAAGGCTGGCCAAGCTTTCCAGCAATTAAAATTTGTCATGACTTCCAGTCTAGTTTTATGACTGCCAAAATTTGGAGACTTTTTTACTGTTGAGACTAATGCCAGTGACAAAGGAATTATAGTTGTGCTTATCCAAGAGAGCAAATCCATAGCTTTCATAAGCAAGGCATTGAGTCCTAGAATTCAATCAAAGTCGGTTTAGGAAAAAGGACTCCTAGCTGTTTTGTATGCAGTAAGTCAGTGGCGAAATTATTTGGAAGGAACTCCATTTTGTCACCAAGACAAACCAAAGAAGCGTGGAATATCTTTTGGATTAGAGGGTATCCTCCATGATTCGGCAGAAAGGCATAATAAAATTGTTACGACTTAGGTACACCATTAAGTACAAGCAAGAGTCATCCAATAGTATGGTAGATGCCCTCTCAAGAAGAGAACAAGTGAATATTGCAACTGAGGTCTTGTATATTGTCACGCATCAACTCCCGCATGGATTTCCATCAGGAGCTCGTCCCTTACAAAAGAAAGGTTGGTAATTGGAGATGGTGGTGAGCTTAAGGCCAAATTACTAAATCAATGCCATAACTTAGTGGTTGGAGGCCACTCAGGAATAAAGCCACCTGTGAGAGAGCCAAACAATATTTCAATTGGCTAGACATGAACCATCAAGTTATTCAATAGATACAACGTTGTGACATTGTTAATGTTGTAAAGTTGAGAAGGTCCCACTACCCGGAATCTTGCAACTGCCACCAATTCTTATCAAGCTTGAACTCATGTGCCCTTGGATTTCATCCAATAACTCTCAAAATCAGAAACCATACTGGTGGTTGTAGACTACTTCACTAAATATGGCTACTCCATACTTTTGCGCCTCCCCTTTACAGATCAAAGGGTAGCTCGACTATAAATGGAGGCCATTTACTAGTTCTATCGTCTTTGACAAGTTCTAGTATCAGATAGAGATAAAATATTCACTAGCCTTTTTTGAAAAGAGTTGGTGAAGGCTATAGCACTACCGTACATTTCAATTATGCTTACCATTCATAGACAAACAACTAAACAAAGAAACTTAATCAATACCGAAAAATGTATTTCAGGTGCATGACCTATCAACAACCTAAAACATGAGGCTAGCAGCTGTCCAATGGTGGCACAACACTTCTTACTACTCGAGTCTAAACTAACTCCCTTCCAAGCACTATACATATATGCTTCCCCATAATTCTTGGATACTGTTGACACACACTTTGCCTTGCAATCACTGGGAGCATTCGTAGCAGAAAGGAATGAAGCTAGTAGGACAATTAAGTGACATCTTTTGCAGGCTAAGATGCAGACCAAACAGTATATCAAAGATCATTGGATTGAAAGATTGTGATCATTTTGAAGTAATATAGATGATTGGACTGGTGGCATATAAGCTCAAATTATCTCCAGCCTCTCGTATTCACCTGGTTTTTCATGTGTCTCAGCTAAAGAATTACATTGTTGGCGACGAAATTAAGGTGGAAGACTTACCAAGTAGC